CAGAATAAAAAAAAAAAAAAAGGAGAGGCTGGGAGCCTCAGTTGCCGGCCAGCCTGAAAACGGCCCTCAGCCCCTCACCCAGGCACCCCAGTGGGGACCCCCACCATAAAGGGGGTGTGGCCAGCCTGAAAACAGCCATCAGCCCCTCATCCAGGCTGGCCAGGCACCCCAGTGGGGACCCCCACCCTGAAGGGGGTGTGACTAGCTACAAATAGCCATCAGCCCCTCACCCAGGCTGGCCAGGCACCCAAGCAGGACTCCCACCCTGATCCAGGACACCCTTCAGGGCAAACCAGCTGGCCCCTACCCCTGCACCAGGCCTCTATCCTATACAGTAAAAGGGTAATATGCAAACTGACCCTAACAGCAGAAAGACTGGGAATGACTGGTCACTATGACACACACTGACCACCAGGGGGCAGACGCTCAATGCAGGAGCTGCCCTCTGGTGGTCAGTGCGCTCCCACATGGGGGAGCTCTGCTCAGCCACAAGCCAGGCTGATGGCTGCCAGTACAGCGGTGGTGGAGGGAGTCTCTCCTGCCTCCTCAGCAGCGCTAAGGATGTCTGACTGCAGCTTAGGTCTGCTCCCCGCTGGCAAGTGGACATCCCCCGAGGGCTGCCGGGCTGCCAGAGGGATGTCTGATTGCCATCTTAGGCCCAATCCCCCAGGGAGCAGGCCTAAGCCAGCAGGTGGTCATCCCCCAAGGGGTCCCAGACTGTGAAAGGGCACAGGCCGGGCTGGGCTGAGGGACCCCCCCCCCAAGTGCACAAATTTTTGTGCACTGGGCCTCTAGTCTATATATATAAAAGCCCAGAGACCATTATGGCAGAACGACTGGTTGCTATGACACGTACTGGCCACCAGGGGGCAGACACTCAATGAAGGAGCTGCCCCCTGGTGGTCAGTGTGCTCCCACAGCGGGAGCACTGCTCAGCCAGAAGCCGGGCTCACCGCTGGCAAGCGCAGCGGTGGTGGTGGGAGCCTCTCCCATTTCTGCAGCAGTGCTAATGAGTGGCAAGCCAAGTGGTAAGGAGCGAGCAGGTGGGTGGTTAGGAGCGATCTGAGGGGTCCCAGATTGCGAGAGGGCACAGGCTGGGCTGAGGAACACCCCCCCCCCCCCGCACGAATTTCGTGCATCGGGCCTCTAGTATTTCAATAATGGGCTGTACTGCAATTAGGTACGTGAACTGAAGCTACCTATATCAATATAAATTTCATTCAAGAACACTGTTGAGCAAAAAGTGTCATTGCAAAAAGATATATTCAGGTTATCATATATATTCAAAGCAATACTATATATCTTGGATCTATACATATTAATAAAAGTGTAAAATATCCACAGGAAAATGGACACCATATTCAGGACTGTGGAGAGGGAGAATGGAGAATGGGGTCTGGGAGAGATACTTGGGGGTCTTCAACTATAACTGCAATCTTTTTTTTTTCTTTAAAAACTCAATGCAAATAAGGAAAATGTGAAAAGACTTTCTTTTGAGGGGGGGGTGTCAAATGATCTTTATTTGGAATTTTTTCCTGTGTAGTTCTTAACCAACTGGGCAACCCACTGCACCACTGCTATGTCCTGAGGCTGGCAGGTTGGTGGCCATCAACACTGCAGCCCACAGACCAGGCAGTCCTCAGCATCTCTTTATGGTTCCAGAGAGTTCTCTAGCTAAAGATCGGTGCTGCCTCAGTCAGGCAATGTTGACGATCTCATAAAAAATATTTCCCTTGAGCTCAATGGTGTGTTTGTTTGTTTTTGCCAAGTCATTGCACTTGCCGTTCTTCCTACCTAGAGCATTCTTATCCTACTACCCATATTGCTAGTGCCCACACTTCCCTCAGATCTTTGCTTAAACATCACCTTCCCAATGATGAGATCCCTGACTACCCTACTGAAAAGAGCAGCACATGCCCCACCCTCACCCAGGTTCTCCCAATCACTTTCCCTGTTTTTGTCTCGTTATCACCATGTGACCGCCCACATATTTTCTCATATATTGTGTTTGCTTCCTATTTCCCTCTATATTTTCTCATATATTGTGTTTGCTTTCTATTTCCCTCTATATTTTTGTCTGTCTTATTCACTACCATATCCCAGTCCCTACATCTATGCCTAACACATAGTAGCTGCTCAATAAGTATTCATTGAAAATGGATAAATTAACTAATAGTGACAGAAAGCAGGTCATGGTTGCCGTGGGCTGGTGAGTCCAGGGAATTGACTGGGAACATGTTCCCAGTCCAAGGAACATGTTCTATATCTGGATTATGTGTTTGATTACACCGATGTATACATTTGTTAAAACTCATTGTCAATATACACTTAAATAGGTACATCATACTGTATATAAATTATATCTCAATGAAGGGAATTTTTTTAAACTAACCATTTACTTAAGATCTCAGCATTTGCAAAGCAGTACATGTATAATTCAAACTCGGGTGTGTCTGAGTCCAAAGTCCCTCATCTTTGTATGAGATATGCCACCTCCCTAACCTCTGCCCTACCTCTTCACCAGAAGGCTCGGTCTCACTTGTTTTCAGATGTACACATCTCTGAGACAAACAATACCTTTTCGGTTCTGTTTCTCCCACATTTTTAAGACCTTGGAAACATGAATCATATAGATGGTTAGACTGTGTGTGTCTCCCTCTGGGAGACATGGTATAGAACAAAAAATTAGAAATCTCCACAGCCTCTTTTCTAGGACAAGAGTCATTATCTCTCAGAGGCTCAGATTCCAAATCTAAAACCAGATACTTGACAGATACTCCATGATACTTAATGGTGTGTTGGTCACTTTTATTTGTCAACTTGCTAGGCTATGCAGTACCTAGTTATTCAATCAGTGCCAAGTGTTTCTGTGAAGGTATGTTGTGGATGTGATAAACACCTGCAATCAGGTGACCTGAAGGAAAGGACATTATCCTCTATAATCTGGGTGAGCCTGATTCAATCAGTTTAAAGTTCTAAGAACAGAATTGAGGTTTCCCCAAAGAAAAAGAAATTCTGCCTGTGGACTGAAGTGTCCACTCCTTCCTGAGAATTTCCAGCCTACCTTGCAGGCTCTCTCATGGCCTGCCCTGTGGATTCCGGACCTGTCTCCCTAACCCCTAAACTGCATAAGCCAATTCTTTGCACTAAATCTCTCTTTTTCTCTGCATATGTGTGTCACATATATGAAAAGCATGCAGAAGTCCTGAAAAAATGTCATTTCTTCCAACTGTTAGTGTTCTAATGGTAACCCCTGGGGCTAATCAGTTCCCAGGCATTCACATGGCTAAACTGGACTTAGGGTGTCTGCAGGGCTGAGCCCTGAATGATCATGGATATGTTGCCATCTCTTCCCTCTCCCTGCCTATGATGGAGTGGGCTTATTATTGATCTCTATATCCAAACTTAAGTCCTTCCTTATCCCTCTAACCCTTGCCCCTGGTTCACCTTTGACTGAGTCCCTAGTGGTACCACCTGAATTTCCTACTTCTGTGCCCAGTTTGCTTTATTGGAACCCTAGTGGTCACCATCTCTGGAATTGAAATGATTGTGTCCTTTGGACGCTGCATGAATAGCTCTGCCTGTCCAGCTGGTTAGGCTTCTGCAGTCAACCCTGGCAGCCAAGCCCATCTTGCCACCCTACCTTGATGGGCGGATCTCAAACCTTCCCCACCTCACCAACTCCATGCAGCCCCAGCGGAGCATCAGGCTTCCAAGTCCAATGGCACAACCTATAAAAGATGATCAGAAGACCAATTCCAGTTAACTATGAGTGGCTCAGCCACAGAGAATAGGGCTTTTCCAAAAGCAAGTAAGACCCAATTTTCCAAAACTGAGACTGGAAATATTCAGTGTGTGTGTGTACATGCTGAACTTTGTGACTGATTATTTTCAGAAATTAAATTCTTTGTCAGCTAGCTGTTTTGCTGTTATCCATAGTTCTTAACCATTCTGTACGTGAAGCTAATTGCAGTATATGCTAAATTCTGTAAACTTACATATCCAGAGTGCTTAGCAAATATTGAGTTTTTAAAAACTACTCATTTTAGTACAGTCTGTGTGTCTCAGTGGTTGAGCATTGACCGATGAACCAGGAGGTCACGTTTCAATTCCCCATAGGGGCACATGCCTGGGTTGCAGGCTCCATCACCTCTAGGGGGTGTGCAGGAGACAGCCAATCAATGACTCTCTCTCAACATTGATGTTTCTATCTCTTTCTCTCCCTCTTCATTCCTCTCTGAAATCAATAAAAATATATTTTAAAAAATGAAAAGTTAAAAAAAAATATTCATGTTAGTCATGAATTTCAACTTCCTTCACCACAAAAACCTTACATCCAAGTTGTGAACAAGAATGACTAACTTGAGATTCTTTTTCTTGCCTCACTTCTCCCCTGATGATACTTAAAGCAGTGGTTGAAAACAAAAAGAAAAAAGGAGAGGTCTTCATTATTTCTAAATTTAATGGTAGAGATTTCTACACCCGATGACTGTATTCTTGGCCAGATCACTTAATGTCCTTGAACTTTATTGAAAAATGAAGGCAACTAGGCTGATATTTTTCAAAGACCCTTTTAGCTCTAAAGTCCCATCCATGAGCCTATGTGCTCTGGCCTTGAAAAATCAAAGCCGTGTTTGCTATGCCCATTCACCTACGGAAGGAGGAAGAGGCCAGGCCCTCCGAAGTCCTGGTGGCATGGGGCTCTCCTAAGCTCCACAGGCAGCTGGTAGTGGGTTAATCAGTACAAGTGTGGCCAGTGCAACATGTGAGCCCCTTGCATATAACAACACAAAGAATGCCCTTCCTTTCTCTTTCTAGAACAAAGAGGGATTTCAACTAAAGAAGAAAGGCGCTTTGGGCAGTGAAAAGGAGGAGGTGGGACAGTGTTTGTTTTATTTTTCTCCTTGGTGGTGGGAGGGAAATGGTCAGAGAATGGAAGATGCCATGAGGTAGATGGCTTATTGTCCATTTACATATCCTCTTTGGAGAACTGCATATTCAAGTGTTTTTGCCCATTAAAAAAATAATAATGCATCCTTGTGCAGCGGCCATGCTAATCTTTTCTGTGTCATTCTAATTCTAGTATTATGTGCTGCCAAAGTGACAACGCTTTGTCTATTTTTTAATTGGGTTGTTTGTGGTTTTGTTGTTGAGTTGTAGATCTTTGTGTATTCTAGATATTAATTGCTTATTACATATATGATTTACAAATATTTTCTCCTGAAACAATTGTTTTTAAGTTGGTATGTTTTAATTTTTTCAAGCCAAAGCACACATAATTTATGACTTAAGTGATACATGCTTATGCTATATTTTCAAAAAACATTAAAAAACTAAAAATCACTTGAAACTGCACAGTCCAGGGGTAAAAACATTATTTTGCTATACATCCTTCCAGGCTTTTTCCTATGCATGTAGAAAACTTTTTACAACCCAGACTCTACATGCTATTTTATAACCTTTCCTTTACAATAGACATATGTATAGTTGTCCCTCCATATCCAGAGGTACCACATCTGTGGATTCAACCAACTGTAGATCAAAAATATTTGGGGGAGCCGTAACCGGTTTGGCTTAGTGGATAGACTGAAAGGTCCCAGGTTCGATTCCGGTCAAGGGCATGTACCTTGGTTGTGGGCACATCCCCAATAGGAGGTGTGCAGGAGGCGGCTGATTGATGTTTCTCTCTCATCGATGTTTCTGGCTTTCTATCTTTCTCCCCTCCTCTCTGTAAAAAATCAATAAAAATATGTATTAAAAATATATATATATATTTTTTGGGGGAAAAAGTTATGTGTTGTGGACCTGTACTATGTAGTTAGGCCTATGATGGTTGCATCTGTATGGAACATGTACAGACTTTTTTTCCTGTCATTATTTCCAAAATACAGTATAACTATTTACATGACATTTACATTATATTAGGCATTATAAGTAATCTGGAGGTGACCAAGTATATGGTAGGACATGTGTAGGTTCTATGCACATACTACACCATTTTTTTATAAATGGGACTTGAGCATTCAAGGATTTTGTATCCGAAGGAGGTCCTGGAACCAATCCCCTGGATACCAAGGGACCATTGTATATATGGCTATTCTAATTCACCACAAAATACTTCAGTGAATAGATATACCACATTGCCTGAGGGGAGAGGGGCTGGGGGACTCAGTGAAAAAGGTAAAGAGATTAAGAAGTACAAATTAATAGATACAAAATAGTCACAGGAATGTAAAGTACAGCATAGGGAATATAGTCAATAATCTATACTAATAAAAGGGTAATATGCTAATTATACCGGGTCAACCGGCCATCTTCTGGACATCTGACTTCCTTCCGGACAAAGCCATGGTGGTGGGGGCCGAGGCAGAGGCAGTTGGTGGCAATCAGGCCGGCAGGAGAGGGTAGTTGGGGGCAAGATCAGGCTGGCAGGGAATTAGGGGTGATCAGGCCGGCAGGGGAGGGCCGTTGGGGGCATTAGGCAGGCAGGCAGGTGAGTGGTTAGGAGCCAGTGGTCCTGGATTACGAGAGGGATGTCTGACTGCCAGTTTAGGCCCGAGCCCCTGTGGGATCGGGCCTAAACTGGCAGTTGGACATCTCCTGAGGGGTCCCATATTGGAGAAGGTGCAGGCCGGGCTGAGGGACACCCCCCACCCCCGTGCACGAATTTCATGCACCAGGCCTCTAGTATTGTAATAACTCTGTACGGTGCCAGATGGATACTTGAAATGTCAGGGGATCACATTGTAAAGTATATTATTATCTAACCACTATGCTGTATTCCTGAAACTAATATAAAATAATATTGAATGTCAACTGTAATTGAAAAATAAATTTTTTTTAAAAAAGTAAATAAGGGAGAGAAGTAGATTGGGGAATGGGGTGGTGAGAAGACCACTTAAAAGGTCCATAGGAATAAACTAAGGTAATTCTAGTTCTTTTCATTTTTAGAACTCAGGTTCTGATTAACTTAAAGGGCAATAACCCAGTTTGAAAAATAAAAGTTGACTGATTAAATTGTAAAAAAAAATATAGATACGCTATAATGTATTTAATCAGTATACTAGCAATAAAATATTTTGGTGGTTTCCAACTCCTCCTTATTATAAACAATGCTTCATGGAGGCCCTTTATGTCTTTGCATATTTGTCCAATTCGTTTACTGGGATAAATTCCCAGAAGTTGAATTTCTGGGCCAAAGGATATTCATATTTAAATTTTTTATATCCTCTGTATTGCCAATTACCTTCCAGAAAGGCTGGACCAATTTCTACTCTTACTGTGTATGAGAGTGCCCATTGTCCCGCCCCCTTGCCAAGTTGGCATGCTTTCAACAATGGTAAAAATAGGTTCTTGTCTGCTTTTCTCCCATGAATCCTGCCAAAGTGCATGATGTGAAACTAAATGAGAGGAATATAAAGTTGACAGATGGGAGGTATTTTGGTCACTGTAATGTTTTATCTAAAGCACACAATTTTCCCCTCAGAGCAAATGTGATAGATAAGGCCATTTCATTTTTTACTACAAGTTCTAGGAAGTAATTTCCTAAGTGGATGGATTCCTTAGAGAGAGAATGTCTCTGAGGATGTAGAAATTATTCAAACCAAATGTGTGTTGTGTTGATAGTGGATATACATTTTTTTCTTACATAACAGTATGCATCTTTTTTTTTAAGATGTAGTGTTTTAGTCTATATTCTCCAAAGTGTCCTAGCACAGCCTTTTCTGAATATACTCACTTATTTGTCTGAAGTTCTCACAAAGGAATTTTCCCCCAAAACTTATTTTATGTTCTTTATTTTTAAATTTAGGTATAATTTGTATTCAGTGTGAATACATTTTTCTCTTTAAAATCAGATTACAAATAAATGCAACTTTAAAAAATATATTTTTTAATTGATTTTGGAGAGGAAGGGAGAGGGAGAGATAGAAACATCAATGATGATAGAGAATCATTGATTGGCTGCCTTCTACACAACCCTCCCCTGGGGATCGAGCCCACAACCTGGGCATGTGCCCTGACCTGGAATTGAACTGTGACCTCCTGGTTCATAGGTTGATGCTCAACCACTGAGCCACGCCTGCTGGGGTAAACGTGCATCTCTTATGTGGGAGTTACTAGGGGGTCTGGTAAGAGCATCTAGACTCAGAGGAAAGGGGAATAAAAGCAGAATTCCTGAGAAAGCAGGGAGCAGAGCACCAGACAAGTGGCCCTCTTGTGTCTTGGCGCTTGGTCCCATTGCAGTAGTTCAGCTGTCATTTCTGGAGCACATGAAGGGCAAACCTTGATCATGAGCCTGGCTGAAGTTTTCCAGTGACCTTCTAGAAGACCATGCATGCCCACTGCCCACGAGTTTGGCATGGTTGTAGACCTTCTTTGGCTCTGGTCAGGATCCTAGAAGACTAAATGTACCTGAGTGAAAAAAATAATAAATAAATAAATAAATAAATAATAAATAAATAAAACAAATCTAGACTGAGGTAAGGAGAGATTTTATTATATTGCAATGAGGAGTGGGGACTACCAATAAGGAGAATACTCTAATCATAGACCATAGATCTGCAAGCATCTCAAAGGGCAGGCAGATGAGGAGGAGTAAAGAAGGATGGGAAGAACCAGGTGTGGTGGATTGGGATGAGTAGGTCGAATTAGGAAGCTAAGCAGGGAATGTTCCCCCTGAGGTCAGCAAGAGGTGGTGGTTAAGGAGGGGTTGTTCCTTGTTCTAAAACAGGCATACCTTGTTTCGTTACACCTCTCTTTATTCCATTTCACAGCTGTTGCTTTTCTTTTTTTTTTTTTTTTTTACAAATTGAAGGCAACACCCTCCACCAGCAGAAAGGTTATGACTCACTCTATTGACCTTATTACCATAGTCTGGACATGAACCTGCAGTATCTCCAAGGTACCTCTATACTCAAAGATAGGCCAAGTTCCAGGACCAAGTGTTGGGGGGTGGAGAAGAAAAGTCTGACTGAAGTTTAACAAGTTAAGTTAGAGGGTCTTTTGTTCAGCTTGGTCAGTGGAACAAACGATTCAGCTAATTATTTAGGAGATAAGGGAAATTTAAAGAGTTTGTGTCCGGTTGTCATAAGTAGACAAGGAATCAGCGTGTCACATGGGTAAGATTCTTTGCAGTGAGACATTTCCTGGAACACAAAGGGTGAAGGGATATGTGAATGGAGGCAGGAGTATTCCAGTAGCACAGGGCTCAGGTAAATTTCAACATTGTCACCAATACCCTTTGTCACCCCATGTGGTGACAGAACGCCCCTTGTGGAGAATCCATTCACTTGGTTTGGGTGAGGTTGATCTTACCTCCCTCCTTATATGGATAGGCGTGTGGCAGGCCTTGCCCATGCCTTCCCAATTCAAATATCTTCCTCTCTGTTTACTAGTAACGGTCCAGCAAAGGGTACATGATCCAAGCAGGACCAATTTGTCCGCTGAGATTTGATTACATGGATGCTGGAAAAGAGAACCCTGGCATTGTTTAAGCCCCTGGATCCAACCATGCCCAGCTTAGTTTTACCTCTAGACTTCCCAGGTATGTGAGTCAATAAATCCCCTTTTGCTTAACAAGTTGTTGTTTTTTTCCCAGGGCCTTGGTTGCCTTGGAATGGTTGAAGGGCCCGAAAACCTCTGATATGAAAGATTCCAGGTCCCGTTTTAATTCCAAGAGTGGGAATATTGGCTACAGACTTCAGGCTGTATTTCAAGCTTGAGTAATTCCATCTGCCCATTCTGAAAATTTTTACTGCAAGAATATTCGAGATTCTCAACTTCCTTCACTAGACTTCTAAGCATCATTAAATCTCCGTGATTGTTTTTTGCTAGTCAAAGGCAAGTCCTGAATTTGGTGGGGAAATCTGTTTCCCAATTCCAATTTTATTTATTTTTGTTGTTGTTATTTTGAGAGTACATTTATTAAAGCTGAGGACAATGAAATAAGGAAGGGGCTTGGACAGAAGAAGCGACAGGAGAGAGACTGGGTGGCACTGCTCTGGCTCACTGAGAAATAAAAGTCACCGTGCAAGAAGTGAGCCAAGGCGGGGCTGCTGTCAGCTCACTGGAGAGTCAGAGAAAAGGGTCCTTGTGGACAGGTTCAG